CTTATTAATACATAAGCCTGGCTCCCCAACACCTTTGGGTGCCACACCCTGACCCAAACACTTTTTCTTCACAAACTCATGGGCGCTTCTCGGGTACCATGCTACAAGGTTTGTCCTTGGGTCATGTAATTGTTGTGGTAGCAAAAAAACGGCACCTAAGTTGGCAAGCTACCCGCATGTGCGCCTCCAGCCAAGGATGAGATCATGGCCCTGAGTTGCCACCTCCTTTAGAAGATTCTCGCCAGTTCGAGCTGATGCTCAAAAATGGGAACGTCGGCCAGCTGGTGGTGGACCGCATGTGTTTCCTAAGCAATGTGTTTTTGCGAATATGGTTTTTTTCGCAACCACTGCTGCAGAAAGCCCAAACCCATACCGAATGTTTGTAGATGCCCTACTCCTACAACATTGAGTTTCTGTTTAGGCACCTTATTCAGCCAGGGAGCCGGCACTGTTTCAGAATTTCAGGGGTGAGCTGCGAAAGATAACGTGGCCTTGCACCCCTCTTCAAAAATTCACCTGAACTCCGGGCAGAGGCGACGTGGCGGTCAAAGTTGACCCAGCAATGATGAGTTGAGCATTTGATTATTACTGGGGAAGGGCTTCGAAAACGGTAACTGACCATAGAGGGATGAGTTCAGGATTGAGGTCTCAGGCTTGCAAGAGCTCACCACAGAGAAATGAGTTCGACTTCTCGAGATCAGGAGCATACAACAACTCCAACACTCCTCCCTGTTACAGTGCGAAATTAGCATTTAGTTTTATTGCACCAGACAGCTTCCGACCAACGTGTCGCAAGAGAGTCGCCTCTGCTCTAGACCAAGACCCCCCGTCTTGAATCCCAACATTTAGATCCATCAGGGGAGATGATGTCTATTGCAGGAGCCTGACGAATTGCCCAGATCATCACTGCTGCAGCTTGTAGATACATACAATAGTCAGGGCCAAAACCCTATCACCAACTGTGGCATTTTGCAGAATTTAGTTGCTCATGTGGAGCTGGAACTGCCGCCTGTTGTTGACCGCAGCTTGGCTCCAAGCTCTCAAAGGGAGAGTTGGCCTACTTTGCTCCTCGGCTTCTTCGGGGGAAGGACATCAAAGTTTGTGGCTTCTGAGTTTGCGGTTAGTTTCCCGGCTGGTTTGGGAGCATGAAGCCCTTGCCAAGCCAATGGGGGGTGAGGGGGGCTCTATGTTCGACGGGCGTAATTTGCTGCCTAAATTCAAGATGATGCTTGTCAAATTTGGAAGGTAAAGGGATTTCCAAAGCGTTGGCTTGCGTCGCTCGTATTTGCACATGTTTGAGTAAGTTCTCGATCGAAGATCACTGCGGGCAGAATAGGAGCTTCACATAGGCAAGCGCACCCAGGGCTCAGCAGGGCTGCCATCCCCGACATGTACAGGGATACAAAGTTTGCCAAGAAACACAAAAAATGTGTCATCAAAGGAGGCTGATGGCCCAACTCTTATACTCGCGGTATTTTCCAATATTTTTGCGATGCAGGGAGGTCGTGTCTCCCAGGGTCTCGAGGATTAGGATAAGCACATCATGATTTTTTGTTTGCTTGATGATGACCTTGCAATCCTTAAGAAAGCACACATGTAGCACATACGGCATCCCACTCCATTCTCCGATCCTAACCCTTTTCCTCCCACCTGAGTCTTTTTTGTACTCAACTCGAGGCCTATCGACCTACCGATCTGTGTGACGCCGATCACCCACCTTGCAAGTTTCAAGCTCAAAAGCCCTGAATGCTGAAATCTAACTGTTGCCCCAAGACTCCATGGCTTCCTGGCGTTTACTCGTGCCCACCTTTCCGCATGTTGCAAATATGTAGTAATTCTGGCTGCTCAGATCGGCACAATATTCTGATTCATATGTCTTGCAGAGCTTCGCTGGGAGGTTTGCGAAATGTTTTCCGCGACGTTCTACCAGATGGCAGGACGGGCGCCTTGGGAAATTTTAAAGTCACACAGACTGGGGTTCTGTGCGTTGAGTAGTAACCCGGAAGTAGAGCGGAAGCAGAGAGATCACAAAGCCACTGCACATTGTGTTCTATGTACTTTGCCGGACCTGGATTATCAGCGGGTCCAATTGAGGAAGGCTTGAAACCTCTGCGAAGAAAACACGATTAACTTGGCTTTGTATAAGAAATCTGCATCAGCCTTGACGAGCTTTGGAGATCTAACAGTAGACCTGTATGGCTTCTAACCGCTGCCGCAAGTTTACATGCATGCTGAGCCTCCCATTATTCAGGGGAACACTTGTACCAAGTCAAGAACTCCACACGGTGGGGCTTAGAGTAAAAGCCTTAGCAAATTGCAGGATTTTGTCCCACCTCGTTCCGAAGAAGGGGTGAAGCGTTACGCATGTCCCCCATGGTAACGAATTGCATGAGGTTATGCTTTTCCTGAGCAGTTTCTTCATCATCTCAACACACATGCACACACGTTTTTCAGATTATAAACGGAGTCTGTAAGTAGCCCATCCCATGTCTGAGAATCGTGCAAGTGAGGGCTGAGCGCACCGAACAGTCAAGGAGTAGATTTCTTATACTCTGCAGAAGATGTCTCAAGCAGCCCCACTTCCAAATAGAAAATGTACCCAGCTGGACAGTAAGTCAGGGTAGGCCTTGTCTGTGGGCACGGGCGTGAAACACTTTGACTGAGGTTCTTCCGGGAATAGCCTGTGAAGCCGCAATCAGGATTTCTTTGAAAGAGTTCCGCCAAGGCTTACAAGCCTGAACTGCCATGAAACATTCACCCCTGCCCGCGCTCAGTGGCAGGCCTGTGAGAATGAGCATAATGCGACACCAGCAGGCTCTCTGGATTTCAGGGTTGGCTTTTGAAACTGGCATGCGAAGGGATTATTTGATGGGACTTTGCTGCCTGAAACAGGGTTTCCCATTGCAAGATGCACGTTCGTTTGCCTGCGGGGCGTATCCTTCGTATCCTGTGCAAACATCTTGTCCAGGGGCTTGAAGGTGAGAAGGTAGGCCAGGTTCTTCATCATTGGTGACTGCAAAGCAAGAGGAATGAAACAGATCTAGCTATCAATGGCCCGATTTCATGTGATAAGATTCCTTCATCGTGTGCGTGGTGCTTGGCAAGCTTACCCGAGTGTGAAGAGTTTTGGTAGCAGTGTTGCCCCTTCTAACTTCTTGTTGGCGCAGCCAGCGAATGTGGATCTTGGTGTCTATCTTTCTTAGCATGATGCCTTACAATCCAGGGAGTCCCAGCCAGCCTCACCGCTGGGAAAGCTTCGGCAATGAACCCGAGACCATTCGCCTCTGCAGCCAGGCATCCCACGCAGAGAATTCCTCCGCATCTGCCCTGGAGTGGAGGAGGGTGCTGACCAACCTTGATCTTTTGCGAACATGGAGAGTTTTGAGTCTTGTTTGATGCTTCTGACGAGGCCCTCAGTAGTTGCCGTACACTGTGATATGATGTGGACTTGCAGGGGCTATACCACAGCGGTATGGTCCATAGCTGGGGGTTTTGGAAGTAGCATGGGTCCAAATGCTCAGGCCTCAGGCTGGAAGAATTTGCGGTGGTGAACTTCAAGTATTGTCCGAATAAAGGTGTACAACGAGTACGTTCGAAGCACCCAAGTGCACGTAAGCAAGATCCAGCACTTGTCGCATCATGTTTGGTCGCAGAGCCCGTGTTTCTCCGCGGCCCGCACTGCACGATCGCCTGAACGCGTCATAGCTTGTCAGGTGGAACTGAAACTTGGAGACCTGCCAATGTCTAAATCGCAGTGGTGGGACCGTCTGTCCCAAGGGAAAGTTTGAATTCCCAGCGTGCCCGCTGTCGGGGCTACGCTCCCACTTCGGGCACCTTCTTGACAGGCACGCGCAAGGCCCTCCTGAGGCATGGCTCTGAAATGTTCGCAGCCTTCCCAAACCCTCGAGGCTTTCACGAGGCTGTCTGCAGTTGTTTCCAGAGTGTTCTCAAGCCTCAAGCCGGTATCGAAGCACTCTGGTGGCGTTCGCAAAGTTCTGGAGACGGTCTTGAAGCATTTTCGAGCCATTGCCAATCCGTTCCCGCATTTTCCCAGGCGTTTTCGAGGCTTTCTATCGAGAGACTTTCTGGAGGCATTATTATGATAATGCGCAGGCGTTTGTTTCATTTGATTGCAAAGTGTTCGTTTGGAGCTTTAAGCAGCTGTTTTCAAGGATGTCCAACTTCATTGCTGCACTGAAGCTCGGAAAGGCAATTAAAGTTTGACATCCTATATATACTTCCTATATAATCATAGTCCACACTCCAAAGCATGCTGGAATCTAGGCTGGAGGTTCCTCATTACGCTTTCACTGTACGAGCACCTTAGTCTACATTATAGGCAGAGAGTTGTTCAGGGGCCTTGTAGGGACTTACGTGCTGAAACTTTGCATTACTTTGGCGGAAATCATCCAGACTTTGTGTGTAAACATCATTTTAAACGTTACTTTCAAGGTCTCTTTTTTTGCTTGCGGTGGGTAATGTAGGGCTACCTGAATGCGTTGTGGTCTCCCAGACATGCTCCATTCCAGTGTACATATGAATGAATGCATGAATGAATGAATGGATGGATGGATGGATGGATGGATGGACGGATGCATGGAATGGAATGGAATGAAATGAATGAATGAATGAATGAATGAACGAACGAACCAACGAACCAACGAACGAACGAACGAACGAATGAATGAATGAGCGAAACAATGAGTGAATCAATGAATGAAGGAAGTAAAGCAGCAAGGAGGCAAGAGGAAAAACAGAAGTTTCACGTCTGCAGGAGTCTCATTCTTCAATGGATCGCGCTGGGATGGTTATTGCTCCTTGGTCGAAGCTTTCAGGTATGAGACAGTGATGCAGCCCCCTGCGTCCTTCGTAAGTCTGTCAACGCTCACCTCACCATTCAAGCATGAGCGTTGGTATGTACACCGCTGATTGTCAGATGTTGAACCGTTGAGTTGTTGAGCTATGTTCAGCAGAGGCGTGGTTCCTACTAAAGTCTGCACATGACTGACGACCGCGGCCCAGCGCCGAGAATGACGGTCAGAAATCCTATGACAACTTTGTAGCTACACAGGGCATCTAAGGTCCACAAAGACTTCCCTGAAGACGGCAGCAAAAAGACATACATGGACCTCCAAACTTACGCCCCAAAACCCTCAACCCCTACTTGACCCTAAATTCCTACCTGTGACTTGGACAGAAACACCTTAAGCCCAATATTCCTCCACCCCTTGGCCCCAATTGCTTTAAACAAGGTCAACCTAAACCCTAAACTCTAAAATCCTAACTCCAACCTTAAAATCCTAAGCCTAAACCCTAATCCTGTAGAGGTATTTCCTGGCCTTGGCGGTGCTGACAGCTGTGTACTTTGCGGCAAGGAGACGGAGCGCCAGGTGCGGCCTACTACCACTTGTTATTACTATTATTATTGTTATTACCACTATTATTATTGTTATTACTATTATTGTTATTACCACTATTATTATTGTTATTATTATTATTGTTATTACCACTATTATTATTGTTATTATTATTACTACTATGAGTATTAGGACTACTTTTGGTATTAAGGATAGTACAGCTATGGTTAAAGACTTGTTGTTCCTACTGTTTGAAGTATTGTTATAGCTATTATTGAGTTGTTATTCTTATTGTTATTGAGTTGTTGTTATATTGCTAGTATTGAAGATACTTACTGTTATTACGATTATTGAGTTATTGCTTCCCATTCGTATTGTTATTTCTATTTTATCGGTTCTGAGGACTTGGGGCGGGTCTGGCTTTCATGAGTTCAGAGAGGTAGAAACCTGAGGGGTGTTGGTTTATGAGCTTATGTAGGGTTCTTAAAGCTTCTGGGGCCCATTGCATAAGTACTCAGGAACACCTGTCATCCCTCTCCCAAACCCTTAAACGGGGATTAGCTTGTCCCCTTTGAGGCTGCTTTGGAAGAATGGTTTCTCGCCGAGCATGGACCTGGAAGATGACGAGAAGGTCGAGAAGCACGCGCACTGCAGGCCACGGATGGCTCGAGGATCTTTTTTTCAGGATTTAGGGTTTAGGTTTTAGGGTTAAGGATTTAAAGGCCTTGGGGTCCCCAAGGTATGGGTGTTTTTTGCTTCACGGTCCACAGCAGTACGTGCATGGTTTTGCAAAAGTGCGGCACGCGGATGCATCGGATCTTACAAGGGTTGTTCTTTGGAGTTCTAGTGCTCAGGCTTTAGAGAATGAGGGCTTTGCTTGGATGCAGAGGGGTCATCAACATCAGCAATTTTTCTGAAGAACAGTCTGTTGATGGTAGACCATCACAGTACCATCCCCTGGGTGCTTTGGACGTCGCGGTAGGACACCCTACAATCTTGAGGGATCACACCGTGGCGCCCAAAAGTTGAAGGGATCACGCCGTCAAGCGCAGAATTCTCGAGGGATCACACCGTGAGGCCCAAAAGTCTCAAGCGATCACAGTGTGAGGTCCAAAAAACTTTAGGGATGACACGGTGACGCCCAACGGTCTCAAGGAATCACACGGTGACGCCCGAAAGTCTCAAGGGATCCTACCAGGACGCCCAACAGTCTCAAGGTTTCACATCGTGACGCCCTGATCGCTTTGCGCGTAAATTTCAAATCCCATCCTCAACATTGCAAATATCAAAACCTTCTGAGTTTGATCAAATAGTTTTCTCGCAGCCAAACATTGTCAGTATATTCTCATGCAAAGACTGAAGGACCTTTGTTTGAGAAACGCTGCGATTAAGGGGGCGCGATGGCTTCCTGTCAGGCGCTTCTCCGCTGTCCCCATGGGTGATGATGAGCCGGATCCCTCCTCTTTGGAGATAGTCCTGACCTTGGATGGGTTTCTGCAAAGCACATGCTATGTCATGCCTGCGCCAAAACGGTGCCCCCTTCCCGCTGAAAGTAGACATTCCCTTTCCTTGTTCATTATTTATACTGGCAGCATGCAACATGATGGCAGAAATTGGGGGCAGGGGATGTGGATATGCAATTGAAAGAGCTGGAATATGTTGAAAGGTTGTGTTGGGGTGCTCAAGGGTTCTTCTTCTAATGTACGAATCAGGGGCTCTCCTTCTAGACACGCCCAGATCTGCCCTTTACAAACCACACGAGGCACAGATTTGAAAAGAGTTTTCAGTAGAGCTCTACAATTCCAAAGGCCTTCGTTGGAGTGTTGGAGGCTTGAGAAGACACCATGACCCATAGAACTCTTTGAGACAATAGTAAGACAAACCCAGAGTTGACTGAGGCTGTAGCCTCGGTGCCAAACCCTATTTGCAACAGCATTCTATGGTATTCAGCTGGATGGGTTGTTTCTGCCTTCAAGTCACCCAAGTCTCCGAAATACGAGCTGCCAGACACAAGTCGGAGTTTTTTGTCTGCTATTCACAAGATATGCATCCCCAGGTTCAATCAGGTTACCGCACATGGTGCTTTGGCTTCCTTCTTCGAGGCTTGTGGATGCTGGCTGGACCCTTAGAGTTGAGACTCAGGTTATACAGCTCACGCATGTAACGAGGCTTCTAGCCTTTAAGGGTTCTACCGCCTTGAATCGAGTTGCAGACGCAATTATCCTCTTTAATCTGCGATTGCAGAGGTGGCAGCTGCACCTTCGCTGCCTGTTGAGCTTGATGTCAAACTTGTTGTTCGCTGGCCTTCCTCAGGACAGGCGATGCAGACACTGCAGCATTTCATGAAGCCCGAACGAGTACAGTTACCACACACAAATTTGGATGCAGTGATGTCAGTAGTGGGCTCAGACTGAACCTCAACCGGTGGTGCTAAGTTCAGCCCAGATATATCTTGCAGTGTAATAGTCCAAAGACATCCCACACACAACCTTCAATCTTGTTCCTAGAGTCCCTACATCTAGTGCAATTCCGCTAGCTCTCTTGCCAAAGCCACTGCCCAGATTTCCACTGCAATCTTGGCACAGGTTCTGGTGGGGCGTAGTTGTTAGCATCCGCTCCTGACCATACCTGGACTTCCCATGATGGTTGTTGTCCTTTTCTGGCCCGGCTGATGCCCACAAAGCGGAACAATCTAGTATGAAATGTACAAAAACCGTGTTACTAAGCCGGTGGATACACCAAGGGCCCGCAGCTTTGCCAGCCAGCTTGCAGGTTCCAGCCATGTCCCAGATTCAACTGGCTACTCGGTCGGCATCAGACAGCCATGTGCTTTGCGATTCAATGCGTCTCGAGATGTAAGTATGCAAAAGTAAAGTAGGTAAATATGAATAATATATATATATATAATATGTGAATTTATAGAAAAATTCCAATTCAAGTCACTAAGTATGCCGAATCCCGATGTCCGCACAGAGGACTTGCGCTCTTCTTCCCTGTCTGATTTTTGTTGGTTCAGGAAGGCTACACAGGAGTTCATTATCTTATTCATTAGTTGTGATCCAGCAGCAGAGTCATCAGTATAGAGCGCTTAAACCATTGCTCCAACCTGAGTTTGTAATCATATCGTTTATTTCGTTTTCACATGATTCTTTACACGCTGCGGAAAGGTGTGTAAGATAATGTAGATTCTCCGCATTGTCCAGATATCTTATTGGGACCTGCATTGCCTTTTCCCCAAAAGCCTCTAAAACTGTGCTAGTGCCATCAACATATTTCGGTAATGTAACCCACACTAATACGACCAAGACGCTCAGAACCCTAAAAACCCTCAACCCCAAACCCTACTTGGTAAATGGTAGCTTCCATTTCCTATTATTCCTTATATAGCCACTATAGAGCCCCTATAAAATTACCCCTCCAGATAATCCCTGGATACCCCAATGTATATAACCCCTATACCCCAATATACTATAGTAGTTTTCATTACTCCATATAACCCCTATACCCCAATA